GGTTTGCAGGCAGGAAACGAAGACCGTCTTTAGAATTCAGAAGTAGCTGGTGTAAGAAGGCCTGTATTGGAGAGGGGTCCTTCCAAGTAGCTGTGTTGATAGAGAATGAAAAGCCTTTTTGTTTGCTTACTTACTAATAACGTTTTTGCCTTCATCCTTGCAAGTGCCTTCTTAAGGATGTAGAATTGTTTGGAATACGTGTACTCTCCGCAGCATTAATGTGGAGTCGCCTCTAAAGTTTTTACCTGTGCAGTTACAGCGTAAAATCAGGAGCATGCGTGCTTTGTGCCATTTCGGTCTATTTATTTGAACGGAAGTTACTCTTTTAACGGGGCTGTTTTTTTTTCTAAATTAAAAGAAAACACTCAGGACTGAGGTTTTAGCAATGAATAGCTGTTGTTTCAAAATCGGCTGTTTTTCGATTATGTTTAAACGGGCTTTTAGTTGTGACCAAGGTTTCAATTTCTATTTCATAAGAAATGGGTTTGCAGGCACACCACGGAATCAATCTCTTTTGGACGAGGTGTGGTTCTTAAAAGAACCGGTGAGTATAAACTCGACGTTTCGGCCAGTGTGCTCTGGCCGTCCTCAGGAGAGTGTGCCAGACTGGAGTGATCCGCAAACCCATTTCTCGTGTTTCATCCTCCATGCAAAGCTTCAAGTCTTACTTACTTTCTATTTTGTAATTCATTCAAAAGCAAGACTATATTTTCCCAATGCGATTTATTGGATGCGATGGTAATGGTTGTCTTTAGATGTCCACTATAATTCCGGTGTCATTTACAGTTTCTTTTAATTTGAAGTAAATGCATTCCTTGTTTGATTTCCAGTAAGCAGACTGTCTCAAAATTGAATTACATTAGTAGAGGGGTTAATATTTGCACCACTGGTCGAAAGTAAGGGTGTTGTTTTCTTGACATGAAAGGCCAAGTTTGCTTTTGGTTCCCAGTGAACATGTATTTCCTTACAGATCCTTTCGGTTTTTTTCTAAAAATTAACGTGAAACTGGCCAGGAAACTTCACCCTCAAATATCGCCAAATTTCTCATATTTTTGTGTGAATACGTTCCAATGTTTTTAAAGACTTTTCTACGGAGTCCCATTCCTCAACTGCAGTCTGACAATTTTGGAACTAAAATCATGAATACGACACTGTTTTATTCAAACCATCAGTATATTTGAAAAATAATTGATACACATGTACACAGTTCTGTCTACTACCACATCAAGGGGATAGATGAACTTGGAAGACACTACAAAATAGTGCTTTCCAAAATAGGTTTCTGAGAAATAATATTACTCCAAAAAGCCAAAAGTATATACAAATGAACGACACAATACTTTAAATATTCAGGTTATTAGTAATGTAAAAACATCATGCAAACTTTCTAAATGGACGGAATTGTGAGATACAAAATTTGAGCACAAAGAGTCTGGGCTCTTACAGGCACAAGCCGGTTAAACATGTAATCTCTGGTCAAATTAATTGTTGCCTTCAATTAACAGGTGGATGTTTCAAACAACTTGAAGAATTTGTCACCGAGGGCTATTTTACAAAGAAAGTAAATACAATGTATAGGAAGTCTATAAACAATGATATTTTTTTCTTGAAAAAAAAAATGCAAAATTATGAATGCAACTCTCGAAACTGTTAACCTTCATAGGCATTCCTCTCACAAGAGAATTTAATCACATTAAAAATTAGATCAGTTTATTATCATCTTTCACTGTTTGGGAAAACTTACACTTGGAGTGTTACTTAGGATCTAGCAAAGTGACCCAATAATTCCGATTTCTTCAGACACAACTTTAATTTCCTGACATTGTGATTTGATGAAACCCAAGTTTGCAACTGGAGAAGTGCTAGCAAAAATGAGCAACTGAAATTCTGATATAACTAAGAATTCTGAGATAACGAAGAATTCTGAGATAACTAAGAATTCTGAGATAACTAAGAATTCTGAGATAACTAAGAATTCTGAGATAACTAACAAGTCTTCACAACTGTTTGGGCTAGGTGTTACGTGAGTCAACATCACTGGACCTAACAAGCAGCACTTAAAGTTTGCTTCTGCAGCAGGCGACATGATTTTTGTCCTTCTAAATTGAAGCCCTGTTTAGTGGTGTACAATGTATACAGCGTGTGTTGCAATCAAGATCTGACTGAGTGAGTGTCAACTGTTGCTACACCATCTGATGTTTGTGTGAAAACATACTGCAGTGTTTGCACACAGCTCATGACAACCTTTCTGTGCTCTTTACAGTAACACAAATTTTTATGGAGGGGTATACAGAAACTGTAATGCTTAGCAATATTGATCTTGAGAAGAAAGTACCTTACACAATGTGATTCAAACAGATATCAGAACTAAAACCCAAAGCCAGCAACTCAGAACTCTTGCCTGCTCATACTTGCTACACTTCTGCACAGTCCATACAACAGAGGAATAAACATTCTTGCAGGGATATATTGGACACTGCCTCCATGGAGTCTCTTTGTATGTTCCTGTTGAGGGGGTGTTATCTAAGCAACTGGCTGGTACTGTTCAACTCTCTCCAGCAAGGCCTCTGAGTACCCTGGGGAGTAGTACCTGCAACCAAATCATATGAGAGATCGTTGGAACACACAGCATGCATCAGTCAAGATGGGTAACGTCTCAGCAGCGTAATGACAGGATAGAATATTGCCAAACGCTTACATATTGGATTCATCTTGATCAAGTGAGCCAAACAAATGTTAAACATCCATTACGTAGTTTGTCTTGCATAACAGCATATATGGTTCCATTGTATGATGGCCCTGGTAACTCTTGATAATTCTTTGGTCACATGATCAACACAAATTACAATAGAAGGTAACAACAGCATTGTCCACAAGCCTTTTTTACAATGTATTAGTAATAACTCTTGCCCCAATACAGGTTTTAATCTGAATTAGAAATCTGGCATGTTAGCATTTTATTGTTTAGAGAACTAATTGTGCATCAAGAAATACCTAAACTACCTCATCATTAATGACAGAGTCTGAAATAGTGTCCATGAGAATATTTTGGGAAAGTAAGGGACATTTGGAAACCAGGAGGAATCAATTAGTATTGGTGGCTGCATAGGATCCATGGGTTGTCAAAATAGTTCAGTATACATGTATATCTAATGAAATACAAATACACATTAATCCAAAGAGTCCTGAATGCTCGAACTCTCGGAAGATCCAGGACTTTTCAGGCAAGGCAAAGAGGAACACAATTAGAAGGATTAGAAGGATAGCTGACCTGACAATCTCCTCAGGGAAGCAGTTATTGATGGTGTTGATGTACTCATGCAGGGCACTTCCAGGCTCGGCCTTGATCTCCTGCACCTTCTTCAGCCCGCCACTGGTGACAAAGAGGCGGCGGGCGGCAGCGTCGTGGGGCAGCACCTTGCTGAATTGGCCCACAACATGCTTGAGGATGTTAGCTGGGGCATCATGCAGGAGAGGCTCTAAGGCTGGCAGGTGCACACACTTCTGCAGGATGTTCTTCAGGGCCTTCTTGGCCTGACAAAGACAGAGAAGCGATCAATTTTCTCAAAGGTTTCAAACATGTTGGAGTGCCAGCACTGATGCAACACCTAATGCAATTACATATAGGCTGGCAATGTACTACTTTTCTTAGGTTTCATCTTCTGGCAACCTGGACCTAGTTATACTAACTTCATTACTGAGATTGGGTTCGTCAATTCTGATGACCTTCATATAAAGGCACCCCCCCACACCCACATTTGAATTCCAATTCTCCCTTTCAAATAGTTCTCACATAACGATGCAAGCTTAGGCGTGAGGTCAAAATACAGACAGTTTAGAAACAGTTGAACGATTGGTGTTAATCCCCCTTCATTCCGTTCGTCTTTTGGTGTGGGACAGTTCAACGGTTTGAAAAGAACTGTCTGCCCTGGACTGTCTAGCTTCACGAGCAACCCTTGACAACGATGGAGCTTGAGGCTTACACAGCCATGGTTGTGAACAAAACATCCTATTCAGGGAGAACTTCATTGGCCCTGGTCAGCCTTCCTGGCCTGGCCGTGAGGATTAGTGGTTAACACCTTGTGATAGATAGACACAAAATCGACTGCATTCCAGGCTACAGACA